AGGATAAATAACAAGACATCAACTGTTGAATGAATTGTGGAGTAATATTGTAAAAAAAGTTTGAAATGTTTTCTTTTACGTTTAAACGACTTAATTTATTCAAAACTAGCTGGGCTACCCTGCTCTGTTCAAGGACTTAATATGAGATTCTGTGGTAGTTATATATATAAAAGGATAAACTTTAAAATCCACCCGTACAAAAAAGGCAAAATGTTCTAGAACATTCAACGACATTCGAGTGTGTTCTGGAACGTTCCACAATGATCTGGGACATTCTAGACTATTCCCGAACATTCCACAACATTACAGAATGTTCCGAAATGTTCCCGAACGTTGAAATCTTGCTATGTTGATTACAATTATAAGTACAATTTATTATATATTATTTACAATTATTTTTAAAATACTTATAATCAATTATGTTAAATGCATGACAAAGAATCTAAAATTGAAATGGAGTAAATGGGCGTTTTAAATTCTTTTCTTTGATTACGTTACATTCTAAGGCGGCAATAATTTTTGTCAAGCCGCTTCTTCCGGCGCGTTTTCAGGCGTGAAATGAAATTCTCAAATTATTTTGATGTATTTCGTAGCTTATTGCGTCTCTTTTACAGTAACATCGTTTGCATTTTGTCATTCGCGCTCCCTCCTGACTGATTTATACTGCAGTGTCGCTTGATGTTGGTCTTGCTATATTTACGGGTTATCAGTCCTTTTGTTTCTCGTAATTTTTATTCCATTACAGACAGCGGATAATTATACGACAATTTATTTCTTTCGCTTATCAACTGTTCTATCTCTACTTTATTTGCCGCAAATCTTTTTATATTTTCCAAAAATTCAATATAATACACTCAAAATGAGTTGAACACGGTGTTGTTCAGGATTCTGGCCAGTGTTTCGTCCTCTGCTTTTATGAGACATCCTCACGGTTCTCTAATATGGTTGATCTGAAACTGAGGACAAAAGTTCTTCTGTTTCACCCAGAGCGAGTTTTAATGATGTCCCTTGTGATCGAGGGCAAAACGCCAGAGCGACCCGCTGAACTTCACTGCCACCGACACCCGCGGAAGCCTACAAAACTTTAAAAAGAGTTGCCGTTTTATGCTCTGTAATGATGTTTTGCGCGAATATTTTTATAGTTGTTTTATGTGTTAGTCAATATTACGATCGAGAGGGATAAATCTAACGATAGGGCTAAAAATTTCCTTTGAAAAAGGTACTTGGGATACTAATGATAGAAAATGAAACAGTAATTTCCCGTTAATTCAGCAACCACCGGGAACGTCGAAAAGGGGTAATAAGACGCAGCGCAGCATAGTTATTACACTAAACAAGGAATATCGGTAGCAAATGCTTAAGGACAAAACAGCTTACACCTGTTACAAACGCGATGATGACAATTTTCCAAGTAAAATTAGTTTAGTGATTACGAAGACATCTGTCATTGCATCGAGGGTCCTCATCTAATACATTCGTTGTATTATATATACGTATAGATATACATGGTGATGACTTGACTTTAAAGCTTCTACGTCCTCTAAAATTTTAACTACTTAATTCTTTCATAAATAAAATGAAAAACAAGTTAACGTATGTACTTGAAAATTATCTGCTAGGGACTTTTAAGCTAAGTTTTGATAATTTAGGCAACTAAATTTTTGTATTATTATTTATCAATACACAATATTGATTTTAGAGACTAGAAGTTTTCAGGGAATTTAGAGAATTCACAATTTTATATTTGTGATTTTTTTCCAATTAATAACCCCTTAACTTTCAGAAGTACAATATTATATATATCTTATTTCATTAAAATTGATTAGAAGTAGAAGTTGAGATAATAGATGTTTTAAGAAAAAAGGGGTATTTACATTAAAGGGAACCGCTTATAATCAAAAATATGAAATAATGATGTGGCACTTATCTGGTTGAGTTGGTGACATTGTTTTCTAGAATCGTTATGTTGTATATATCGTTGCGCTAGCGTGGTAAAGGAAAGGGGTAAATTTAAACTCGAACGCTATTTCCCAACAAATCCCAGCGACGACAGCGGCGTGGACCCTGTGGCTTTAATAGATTTAATTACACTGTGTTAATTAGAATAGCTGTTTGGAGGCAATTGAACGCGCCCACCCAAACATGAGCTGAAATGCCGCCAGATTTGCCCTATTAAAGACATATTCCAGACAATTATAAACAGCCCGTATAATCGAAATTCAAAATTTATATACAACAAGAAAACCGATTCCAAAACATACATTTTTCCGAAAGGAAAAAAGAAAGAAGGACTGGTGCTACCAGAGACAATGCTAGCAAATGAGCCCTATCAAAGGCATATGTTGGACAATTATAGAAGTCCAAAAGTACTGCAAAGAAATCGATTCCAAAAACATAAAAAAAAATGCTACCAAATGTCATATCTACACAATTGTTGACGAATAATCTCAATTCGAAAGTTTACATACGATAACAAAATCGGTTCCAAAAGGACAAAAAAAAATAGAAAAAACTGGTATTACTTGCTGAAAGCGGAAGAAGACGGAAGGTGTCCGTTATATATCTATCTTATCCCGAATATTCTACAACATTACAGAATGTTCCAGGATGTTCCCGAACGTTCGAATCTTGCTTTACATACGCCTACCAATAGGTAGTTCCAACGACCCAAAGAAGGCTTCTAATATTCTCGAATGTTATGAACTGTTCTAGAAATTTCTAGAGTACAACAAGAAAATCGGTTCCAAAAGGACAATAAAAGATCTAAAAAAACTGGTATTACTTGTCGGAAGCGGAAGAAGACTGAAGATATCCGTTATATATCTATCTTATCCCGAACATTCTACAACATTACAGAATGTTCCAGGATGTTCCCGAACGTTCGGGTCTTGCTTTATATACGCCTACCGATAGGTAGTTCCAACCATACAAAGAGAAGGCTTCTAATATTCTCGAATGTTATGAACTGTTCTAGAAATTTCTAGAGTACAACAACAAAATCGGTTCCAAAAGGACAATAAAAGATCGAAAAAAAACTGGTATTAGGTACTTGCTGGAAGCGGAAGAAGACTGAAGATGTCCGTTATATATATCTATCTTATCCCGAACATTCTACAACATTACAGAATGTTCCCGAACGTTCGAGTCCTGCTTTACATACGCCTACCAATAGGTAGTTCTAACTATACAAAGAGAAGGCTTCTAATATTCTCGAATGTTATGAACTGTTCTAGAAATTTCTAGAGTACAATAACAAAATCGGTTCCAAAAGGACAATAAAAGATAAAAAAAAACTGGTATTACTTGCTGGAAGCGGAAGAAGATGGAAGGTGTCCGTTATCTAAACGTGTAATGACATATGGAAAGGAAGCGGTGTAACGAATTGTGATAAAGATTGGATAAAAACACATTGAATTTGTTTAAAGATTTATGAGAAGTGTATAGGAAAGGGTGGTGCTTTTAAATTTCACCCGATGACGATGACTTGTCGTAGATCGCACAGGGGCAAGGGTATCACGTTTAGCAATGCATGATAAATCACCGAGCATTTGAATGTCGTGTTGTAAATAAATGCTTGGGCACAATTTAGGGAGTGCTAATAGCATTTACATAGGCTAAACAGGGCATACCGTTAATCTTAGAAGCTCTTATTTCTTAGCAAATCCTTCATGCTACTAAATACATTCTCCTCCCTTTGATTTCAACTCAATACATGTTCGACGCCGATACATAGCGTTCGAATAAAATATTTTAGGAAATCAAAAAAAAATTGTCTTTTCCAAAAATTAAAAAGTAATCATTATTAATTAATACTGTGGAGTAATTATCAAGTATTAAAATATTTCAAATGCGCTTGCTTTTTGATTGTATTCGAGACAATTGAGGATCAGTACACCAATTGTCTAGCAACTCCGACTACGTTTAAATTCCCCTATTTCCGATAGATTCATGCCGAACAGGGGCTGGGGTTGCTGGGACACGAACAAGATTCGAAGACGTGTTTATTCGGACTCTATTAGGTAAATGAAGATTTGGGAAGAAATGCAAGCCGCCTCTCGCTTGTATATGTCGGGGCCCTTGTTATATATGGACCACTGCGACAGAGTCCTAATGCCTTTTCTAAAATTTACCGTACCATGATTCGTGAGTAACCGGCAATTAACATTAAATTAATGATACCGTGTGATTTTCTGATCAATTTTTAATTAAATTGAAAAAAGGCTACTACTATTCTATTTTTATTAAAATACATCGTATATAAACTATACTGAAGCGCTAATATTAATATTTTTCCAATAAATATCGTTAGCGCATTTAATTCATAAAAAAGTTTGAAAATTTATATCTGATTTATATTAATGCGGCTTTTGTAGAGAGACCTNGCTAACATATCTTTAAAGCAAGGAGTTATATTAAAAATACCTATTTAAATGATAAATGTAAAATATTTATACAAAAATGGGGGCAGTACCATGTTTAGATACATTAAAATATTGCTAATGGGAAAATTAAGTAGGTATATAGTTACTTTTAAATGTAAACAGAATTTTTGATTTTCAGTTTATCAAAATTGAATTATTTTTTTTTTTAACTCATGTAATTTTGTAATTAGGTTCTTGGGAGAGATATAAATCAAATAAAAATTTCATAGTTAAAAAAAATGTTTCTAGTTTAAGTTAATATTATGCAATTTTATTTGTTCGAGTGTTTGATGGGTGGCCTAAATCAAACATTTTATTTTTTCATGAAATCGATATCAGTACCTAAGTTACAAAATAACATATACCGGCGAGGAACATAATCGACCGTCCATGCAAAATTGTAAAATGATAAGAATATTCCCGTTTGTAAAGCAATATTCTACCGCACCAATAATCTATGCATTTGAAATAAATGTAATAGAATTTCCTTATGGTCGGTTAAACTTATTCGTGTAATATGGAGTTTATTGTTTAAATAATAGAAACAGCGATTTTAAAAAAGTATTTATTAATTGCTCTTTCAACAACAAAATATTACAGCATATTCGTTTAATTAACATTTAAAGGCACTTTGAAAAAAAGGTATTTTTTGTGCTAAAGCTTCTTCACCATTATCGACTTACATTCTTTTCTTATCCTTACCGATTTAAAACAGTTCATAAACTTTGATTATCTACTCAATTGCTTATAAGTTTAGAAAAGATACAAGTGCTTTATAACAAGTGTATTAATCGCCTTAGGTTTAGTTAACAAACTGCTGTGAACACATACAAATCTGGCAACAAGTTTAGTTGGAAACTGAACCTTTGCACAGCGAATTTAAAAAATATACTAAGCTTAATTAAGTAATCATTTCGACACTGTGGGCACAAGTCCTTGGACTTAATAGTTTAAATTACAATCTATTTTCATAGAAAATAACGATTACGAAGTCGGCATTGAAATCTGAACGTCCTTGAACGTTATCAAAATAGTAACAGTAAGTAAGAAAATAATCTTCAAAATAATTAACAAACAACGTTTTCCAGTTAACATAACTGAAAATTGTCAAAAACGTTAGGGTCCAAGCCCTAATAATTAGTAACAATTTACATTCATAATCTTTGTGTTAATCCGACCTTTTCAACAATATTACCCAGAAGACTGCTCAATGACGAATCTCCATTCTTAAACTTAAACCCTATTGTAGAACAATAGCAATGATAGAATATTGCCCTAACTTTTAAAAGTCTTTCTTTGCGCCTGAAAATACAAAAAGGCAAATATACAACATTATTAAAACAAGATAAATTAAAACTTACATTGAATGTATTTCATTTGCACTTAAAGTACCAGAATCTTCATCGATGATAGTACAACTGGAGTCTTGTAATAACGATGCGTCACTTCTGAAAACATAATTTCATGTTAAGAATATTAAAAAAAATATATATATATACATATATATATATAGTAACCTGTTAAAATGAGCACTACCACCCCCTGATTCGTTCGAGTCGGAACCCCTAAGACTTCCGGTACCACTTATCATCTGCCAACTACCAATACTAAGAGATGAGGAGGACTCCTGTCTTTGACGAAGACACGGAACCGTTGGTGCTGGCACTGTTACCGGTGAAGTTTTTTGTGGATTGGGCGACCACATTATTGATGTCCCCATTTCAGGAGGAAATGACGCATTGCTACTAAGAAAAATAAATTTCATATATACAACACCATTTTTTTGTACTATGTTACCCATTTGTGGACTCATCAGGTAAATTAAACCAAACTAATGGCTGGTCCTGGGACTTGCTACTAACAGATGAACAAACAGAATTTAAACTAATGTTGGAACCTCGAGACTCTTGATCTAAAAGCATACCATCCAACTGAGTGTCACTGTCAGCTCTCAGAACAGATCTATCAGACATTGCACTATCTGCTTTTCTCTTGTGACGACTAAAAGATATATAAAACGTTTAAACTGCCTGTGACGACGTGAGCGTACATTTACCTCAACGAAGTGGCAATACTGAATTCATCATCTGAAAGATGTTTCAACATATAGAAACAAAATAAGAATATCTCTTCTCCTTTACTAATCCTATCAGCCAAATTATGACCAAAAAGCATCCAATCGTAAGCAATTGTAAGGTACACAATTTGATGAACATCTAAACTTTGATGGGCAACACCATCAGCCCATAAACTAATACGAAGCATGGAAATAAATAAAGGAGTTCGGTCCCAACCACTAATGCAATGTATTAAAATTCCTGAATTACTGTCCTAAAAAGAAAACGATTTCAATTGATATTATTTTAATTTTAAGATGAAAATTACTTGTAAATATTTTAGTATTAACTTCATATAATTCTGTGTAATTTGTTCAAGATCCCACAATTTATATTTTTCCCAATTGATTTTTAATTGAGCTAATATTGGATCATCTGGAACTCCAATATTAGCATCAACGTAAGTTTGATCCCAGTTAAATACTAATCCTTCTGCCGTATAATCATTATCTCTATATTCCCGAAAAAATTCGCATCCTGGATAAGGAAGAGATATAATAGTAAATTCTGAATATCTATTCTCTTTGTCCACTTTTTCAGATGAAGTTACACTGCAAACAAAATTTTAGTTACCAAAATCTTGTCAAATCTAATTACCACTTACTTCAGTCCAAATTTGACCTTTTTCTTTTCTACCATGAAATCTATTATGGTCCCGACATTAAAGGTCTTTAACAGTTTAATATCCTGACACCTCACCTTGTTAAATAATTGCCAGTCAAACTGATTCTGAGTGACATTAGGTGCCGAACTACTGCTCTCATTATTTTCAGAACTGGAATCTGTATTATCACAAGAATCTGATCCACAAAATAAGTAATCAAGGCCTGATCTACCATAAATTTCTGGTCCTCCCGATAACGTTGCTGAACGACAAATATATTTTCCTTTGTATAAGATAACAGGTAGAGGAAAACGAGCTCGACATCTACATATAAAATGTATTTGTTACAAAAATAATAATTTTTGTGTATCTGACATACCTAGCAAATCTTGCCTTATTAATCAAATCTTTAAGCTTTGGAATATCGTAAATACTTTCATATATGGTATTAGTGGTACGCTGGGACATCTGTAAACCCATGTTAACAATATTGTTCTGATTGTGTTCACGCTCATACTCCAATATAATCAAACTGCTTGGATAGTTACTACTTAGTTCTCCGTAGGTATTATTAATTAAAAACAAGTTATAATCTTTCCTCATAAGTTCAATACTCCTCTCCAAAGCTTCTTTACTCTAAATTATAATATAATTAATTGCAAACTGCACACATATTTTCAAATTACTTACTTTGCTGTTATCTTCTTTGGCATGGTATGTATTCTTTGAAAAATAATTTAATAAATCTTGAATATCTTTTGGATTGATGTTTGTCATATTTAAATTGCAATTACCACTCATAATTGCAAAGAAAGTTATAAAAAGTGTTTTATTTTGACGTTTATACAACAACTATTTTGAGGTTAGGAGTATCTCGTCCACAGAGAATTTATCCTAACCTACTCAGATTCATAATTTTGTGACGACAGCAGGTCAGGATTCAGGCGACTTTTAAGTATGAAACGGCTTCGTTATTTTTCATACATGAAATATAAATATATAAATTAAAAACGAACAGTTACTGTATAGACTAATTTTTTATTTTAATACTAGTTACTACAAAGCTTATTTAATATTATAAAATGGTATGAAATTATTTCCTAATAAGTATTTCATATAAAAAGAATAACAACATGGATGAATAGTATATACCAGAAAAAGAGTAATTTAGAAGATTTTCCACACGCTTTTATTTCATGCTCCTGAAATTTAATTGAGAAATTAAGTTTGATTAGTTTTTAATAAATTACTGTACATACCAAAGGATGTTCATTATAGCATCCTGTTAATCTTCTTCTGGATAAATTGTTTAAATATAGTTTATGACAAGGAAAATCAGTAATGTTGTAATATACTTCTTTTTCCTCAACTGTGTAACATTTAGAACATTGGGACGTAGCTCGGATTGCTACCATTAACAAATTACTGTAAGGAATTCTTTTTACATAAAAAGGCCTGCAATTAATGTACAATATTACCAGGTATTACATATTACTAGGTCTATTTATAAAGTATTTTGTAGTACCTAGAACACTCCCTAGGTACTTCCTCAGGGAATCCGTGTCCCTTTATAAAAAGCAACTGATTGAGAATAAACAGGTCTCTTTTTTTATCACAAGGTCGACTTCTAAGTTCGTATTTCGGTTGTCGTAATTGGTAATAGTATTCTTCTTCCTCTTTTACTTCGCCCTTTCTTAAGTATCTAACGGTTGGCTTTGGGGTAGCTAAAATATTTACTTTTGTTGTATTTGTATTGTCTTAATTAAATTTTATTACGAAAAATTACTTGTGGAAGTTGTTGTGGAAATTAGGGACGAGACATAATTTTCTTCAGAACAGTCTGCATTTACAGGATTTAAATAAAAAAAATTGCATATATTTGATTCTACTATCAACCACGCAATTTTTGCCAAAAACCACTTGATTAATTTTAAGATGAAATTTAAAGGCTAAAAACAAAATATAACAATGTAGGAAACAAAAATGAATCTTTTACATTTCTTACCGTTTCTATAAAGCTTGAATCACTGGATATTGTGAAGTTAAAGGTACAAATAGCTTGTAAATCGTAAACTGTGACTTTTTCAAATATCCCTTGAGTTAACATTGAGTCCATAACGGCACCTTCTACTTCTCCAAAGAATTTACTGGTCATTTTCTTGTCCTTTGCTATAACTATGTAGCCAGAACTGTCTATTATATAACAATCCAGTAATTCCCCGCAAGGTTCGCACCCACTGCCGCACTTCAAAAAGTAGGCATTTAAAAGTTTTGGAAAGTTACCCTGTATTGAAAAATAGCTTACATCTAGTGTATTTTCTGTAATATTAAAAAATCTTTGATGTAGATGACTGTGTGAAAATTGGAAACCAACAACTGAAGCTGGCGTTTCAATTTTCCCAACTTTTGGGAAAATCGCATAACTTCCTGTAACTAAACTATCTCCTGTATATTTTTCCAGTGGGACAGAATAAACAAACGAGTCGGGATCGTGCTTGTGTTGTAATACCGCTTCTTTGTACCATATTTCATCAATAGCTTGAGGGTGAATATCGCCAAATTCGCTTGGTAGAAAATTATATTGCATATATGCATATAGAGAGGAAAAACATTGCAATACGGTTGTGTATATATATAAAACTTACAACTCTGAACTGTTATCTTTTTCTCCAAAAATGTACTCCCATCGGGTGAGTCCACTCATGGTAGCCACAAATCTGAGGGTGGCATTAAACCGCATGAATAAAAATTTATCTATCTCTTCTTTAAATTTCCATGGTTCTTCAAATTCTATCAAAGTATTTCTAGCGTCAAAGATTAGCCTTTGAACTAAATCTTTATCGCAATAATAATCGTCGTCTTGTAATGTCTTCCTTCCACATTCCGCTATAAAATACTTTTTTTAAATTTATATAACTCTTTCTTGTGAGACCTTACTTCCTTCCAAATCTTCCACATATATATTAAACTCTGGGTGTTTTTTCTTATTAGCAGCTTCATATTGCCTCCCCCACTTAAAATTTTTATCGTACATTCGTTCTAAAAAATGTAACAGTTCACTTTCAGGTGTATCAAATTCATGACCTTCCAAATAGTGATATTTACAATAAACCCTGCAATTTTAAACTGGTATACATACATCTATAATCACACTTTGTTTTAGTAATGATTATTTACCATTTGGGGTGAATTTTCCAATTGCTACCCTTAAAAAAACTTGTTAATTTAACTCCAACATTTTTTCGAATTTCGTCTCCAACTTCTAAAGAGTAATTTCCATATGAATCAGGAATAGCAATGGCAATGGAAAAGGGAGTGTTCTTGATAGGCGCAAAATAGTAATCAAAAATTTCCCTCGAAACTCTCCGCATGTCGTCATAATGATATTTTACTTTAACGTCGTGAAGTTGTCCTTCTTTTCCTGTTACTAAAGAGTTCCTCAACGAGAGCAATACAGAATCTGGTTCTCTAGGACCCTTGTTATTATCGAGTTGTTCCACCTCCGTCAAATCAATACTGTTATAGTTATGTTTTAAAACGCCTTTGTACTAAACACAGATAAAACATTATTACTAGGTAGATTATACGTAAATATTTACTTACTAGAGGTCTCAAATCCGGGTGCTTTAAAACGTAGCCGTTATTACTCACAATAAATGAATAGGCGTTTACTCCTATCTAATAGAAAAAAGGAAAATTAAATTGATAATTTTATTAGATTTACTTCATATTTTAACGTACTTTATATGGTAGTGTTAATTTTTCTATATCTTTTATAGGAATGTCCGTTGCAGCAACACCTAACAAGTCAGCAGTACGAGTGTCGTTCTGTTTATTAACTTTGGTATCGAAAGCAGGGACTGCTACAGATGTAAGTAATCTATATTGTTCAAATATGTTTGTATTTTCGGAATTGAACTGAAAAGCAAAATTAAAACAACTGCAAAATTTGTGAACGACAAATCTTACAGTCATGTCTGCGTAAGCATGAGTCCAAGATATTGGGTGATCGTCACCCTGTAATACTAAAGGTCTTGCTATTACGGGAATATATTCGTACACCGATTCTGATACCTGTTCTAATGCCTCTACTTGACTATAATACCCTACAAACAATATAACATTGCATATGCAGACACTTAAAGATTAATAATTTTAAACTTGGACTGTTTTTAAGCCTTTACAAACCTCGGTTGTTACATGCCATCCATTTAGCTTCTTGCTCATTAGTTACTTCGTTTCCTATTAGGTATACAAAAATTCTTACAGGAATAACAGAACCGTTATAAAAATTATTATATTTGTTAATTAACTGACTCATATTTCCTGCAACTCCGTCAGTTATAAGTATGATAGCTTGGTTACAGCTGGAGCTATTCCCGACACAACCCCTCTGTTCCCTATACTAAAATTGAAAACTAGAATTAATGTTTGTTATCCACTTATTTTATCGTTTCACCTTTTCGAGTAAAAGGAAAGATTTTTCCATAGCAATGTTCAGGTCAGCTTTATCGCAAGGATCTAGCGTCGACATGAACTGCTTAAAGACCTGAATGTTCTCTTGGGTAGCTTGAGCTAACATATCTTTAAAGCAAGGTACTAGATAGTCGGCCGTCTTTGAAAAATTCAATATGTTTACGTAATCGTTATTAGAAAAAGTTTCTAATATTTTAAAAACAGTTATAGCGGCAATGTGCTTACGAACCCCTACGTGAAAAGTGACCGTATAAAGTGGAGGAACATTTCTACAGAAATTAAAAATAATATACCTGCCATCGAACCGGAATTATCCACAAGAATAACAACATCTTTAGTACAGGTCGCTGCCTCTATAAACCAAGTCCGAATTCTACAGTCAAAAAGATCTTGATCGTGTGGATTGACCCACCTCATAGCTAATAAAAAAAATTAAATAATACCGAAAAGAGCGCAACGTTACTTTGTTCTTTTGTAGAATCACAAGGCGAAGCAGTACTATGCGATGTTAAATAGTTGTTATGTTAAAAAAATTTAAAGATAACAGGAAATGTGCTTTCTCATAAGAGAAGTACCTGGATAGTGTCTCATAACTCCAGTTGAACTTCCGAAATATTGCCAATATAAGGCTGGATCGGACTTGTAATTTTGTCTGAAAACTTCGTCTAGTACTTCAGACCATTTTATGAACGTCTCTGGTTCTTCATCTGAAATATAATATTTAACCATCGATATTTTAATATAAAATAAATTATTTGAAGAATTAATTTATACTTACGTCTATCATAAACATTTGTTGGAACGTGTACAGCGCTAAAACTAGTGTTCACTGGTAAATTATAAAAATGTGTATCATGATTTACTGCCATAGGTAAATACATAAAACTGTTATCTTGAATAGACTCGGGTAATTCGGTTGGTTCTTCTCCTTCAATTGATGAATATTTAGAACTGTAATAAGTGTAATTACTGCTGGTTGTATTAAACTCAAATTGTTCCGCTGCTTCTTCTGCTTTCTTTGATATACACTAAAAAATTACCACACAAATTACAAAACAATTTTAATGTTATTGTATATTTTCTACCCTAATAGCATCCATTTTTCTATCCATCATTCTAGCGATATTGTCAACTATTTCAACTAACAAAGATTTCGGATCTTTTTTTTCAACAGAAGCTCTTAGGTATGAGGAATCTTCTAAATGATAACTCTCGCTCCTCGGATTGCCCATTCGACTGAATCTTCTTTTAATTTCCGTATTATTTGTAATTAACTGAGCTAATTCCCAAAGTTCTATTCCAATTTTTTGTGCCCAATTACCGATCCTGAAAATTCTTTCTTATTTTATAACTTTCTTTTTTTCAATTTTTATAACACTTACAGTTGGCCTTGTGTTAATGCGCTACATTTTTGTAGAAAAAATAAAATACAAAACAATGTTAAATAAAGTTGAAAGGAACATGAAAACCACTTCATAATTTTCCACTCGGACGATATATTCTCGAAAGCAATTTGAGAACGTGTGCTGTAAACCTACTCAAAAATGCCCATTGCTTTATTTTTAGTTTTGAGCGAAGATATAGAAGTACATCGCATTCGTATCTTTAAATATTAAACGGATCAGAGACGGACTTTTCGCGTGAAGTTGAAAATTTATATAAAAAAATTAATAAATTTTTAGGGTGTATTTTCTGTAATATTAAAAAATCTTTGATGTAGATGACTGTGTGAAAATTGGAAACCAACAACTGAAGCTGGCGTTTCAATTTTCCCAACTTTTGGGAAAATCGCATAACTTCCTGTAACTAAACTATCTCCTGTATATTTTTCCAGTGGGACNACTCATCTACAGATTCTTAAAAAAATATATTAAATCAGCAATAACAATTAAGAACAAAAATGAAAGAAACAACAAAACGCAGAGAACACAATTTTAATATAATGAATACATATTATAAAAAGACTTGATTTAATTTTCTCATGGTAAAAATTTAATCAGATAAAAAGATATTTTTATATTTCATTTCCTCTTTCGTAATTGTATCTATTAGTTACAATAATTTCAATTTCTTTAATGTACTATATATCCGTTTTATTTTAATAAAAACGGGCCAAATATCATGTCATGTTCATTCATTCATATACAGAAAAACCGGAGGTGCATAAAAATTAATTTCAATGTGAGCATACTTACCTTATTTTACTTATACAATGTACCACATGGTGTTTGAATATTTTTAACTTTATTGTTAACCGCTCTTTTAAAAATAAAAAAACGGACCAACTACCAATGTTGAACAACATCGGTGCTATGTAAAAACAAGCGCACTTTATATTATTTCGATTTTATAATAAACTTGAAATATGCCCACCAGAAAATTTCGTTCATGTTTATGAAAAACACGCCATCAGCATTTTTTAGTTTCTTTTGTAGATAAAAAAATTGTCAAAAATACAAAATTGAGAGGGAAAAAAATGCAGCTGTAATTCTAAAAATTTCTTTATTTTTGACAAATATAATTCGCCGATACAACAGAAAACAAATAGAGCTGATAGCAGTTTATTTAGTACATATTTCATACATTTATATATAGCACATCCAAAGTGAGTGTTGAACGGTAAATAAAACGGGAGATGGATAGGAAGGACAAAGTTAGGGTCATGGCCCAATGCAGCGGAGTGCAAATTAACCTGGTGGGCTAGAGACGAGGCGAAATGTCTTTCTTAATAGTAGAGTTATTGTAAAGACGTACGTTACGTAGGTATTAAGTCGGGGAAAAAATACGAAATAACGCACGGCTCAAACACAAAAAAAGTAGAAGTAGTTAAATAAATTTAATCTTTAACAAGTGAGAAAACTTAAACGAAGTGGAAGTTCCAAATAAATTATAAATTAAAATGAAAAAAATGTATGGAACAAAGCCGCTGCTACAAAAAATCTTACAGCCTAACACTGTCTGATGATTCACATCATAATCAACAATCAAGAGAACATAACTGTAATGGAATCCATTTTCATTTTATTCGAACAGGTGAAATGTGAAATGTAATTTTATGCTTTACATATTTGGCTAAAAACAGTTACTGAAATATCAAAAGTTTCTTGTGAAACTTGAACTTCCAATTGCAATTTCACAACCAAGTTTCACAAATACGTTAACTTACATGAAATTTCAATTTTAACGGTTACAATTAAAAATGGACGCCACAATTTCAATTATCACCACCTTCTTGTGGTTCATCCGCTTCACCCTGCAAATAAAGAAGAAAAGTTGATATAAATATCCAGCAAAACAGCATGAAAACGTAAAATACTGAGTAGTACTAAATTTTTAATCAGGGACTATAAATGTCGATCATTTGTAACTTACTTGTGTGTCACTGGTCCAAAGCGTAAGGTTATCCCGAAGAAGCTGCATAATTAACGTACTGTCCTTGTATGAGTCTTCATTTAAGGTATCGAGTTCTGCAATTGCATCATCAAACGCCTGTATTTGAAAAACAAAATTAGTAATTGTCTCTTTTATCAGGAACATTGTTACAGCAGTTTCAATTTGAAGACCTCAACTCTCATGCACACAACACCGTTAAATTACTTTTATCTGTCTCAATATTTCCCCAAATAACAGCACAATTGGTTATGATTTCCAATTAAATTTTTGATTTGTAGGAAATAATCCATGCAGAATTTACACAAAAAAACATTTAAAACAGATCTACAAATTAAAAAAAAAAAGACAAAATCAAAATATGCATAAAATTGTATCATAATTTTTAAAGCTGTAACAACGTTCTTTAGAACAAGTTAGTAGTAGCAGGTATGAATTACATGTGAGCACCTAATAAACAACTGGTTAGGGGGGCATCAAGTTATTTTTCACACAAACAACAACACATCTATTTTGTAACCTGTTTAGCAAGATGGCATGCTCTTGCCGGAGAATTAATAATTTCGTAGTAAAACACCGAGAAGTTTAAGGCAAGACCTAGCCTTATTGGATGTGTTGACTGCATTTTTGACTTAGCTATATCGAAGGCTTCTTGATAGGCTTTCTGTGAATCTTCTACCACAGCTGACAAAACAATAAAATGTGAGAACTTCTATTAATTTACGTTTTTCCTTTTATATGCAAAAATAAATAAAAACGCTAATTGCCCAAAAAGTTGAAGAATGAATGAAGAATCTCTGACCCACATGTAATTCAGAACCTATGAAGACCAATACAAAATAAAAATAATAATGACCTGTTTTGCTAACTGACAAGCTTTGTCAGGGGAGTTTAAGATCTCATAATAGAAAACAGAAAAATTGAGTGCTAGACCCAATCGAATTGGATGTGTAGGTGTCATTTTTGCCTTTGAGATTTCAAATGCATCCTGGTATGCTTTCTGCGAGTCATCAACTACAGCTGAAAGTTTACAATTAAATATTAAAAGATATATCTTTTTGTTTTTTGATGTTATGTATAGTCAGAAAAAATTTCATTCTCTTTGTATCAGTCAGCCTACAGCAAAACCGCTGTTATTTACATTCTAAATGAAAAAAAAAAAAACATTTATATATAAATAAATGCAAAATAATACAAATTTAACAATACATACTATTTCTAGTATCCCCTGTAGCAACTTCAGCAAGGTATCGGTAGTAATCGCCTTTCATTTTGAGGTAAAATACTTTTGATTCAGCATTGCTGGCTTTGGGAATCAAATATTTGTCCAGAAGACCCTATAAATGATAAAAAAGATTTAAGTTAACTTATGATTTCTTCTTTTGGATTTCTAATTGTTTAGTTGTCCTATCAGACAACTAAAATTATGTCTTCATAAAATTCAGAAGAACGAAAGTTTTTTCACTTAACATCATACTTTATAATTGTTACAAAATCAAATTTTAAAAATATATCAGTAACAGCAAATTGATTAACTGTTAACAGCATTTAGGATATCGTATTTTAAAAATTCTTCACCATAGTTAAGAAAAAAATTATTTAAATGTATCCAAAACATATTAATGTTGCTTAATGCAAAATGTGGTTTTACTAAATGTAAATCTAGACTAATTTAATGCAAGTACAACTTACCAAAACGTCGTAACAAATTTCTCTGAGTTCCTTTTCTACTTTTTCTCGATATTCTTTGGCCATCTGCTGTTTACGTTCTGAGCCCTCAGTCTTTTGTTCAATTGATGAAATTACCCTCCATGATGATCTCCTGGCACCTACTACATTTTTATATGCAACAGAGAGTAAATTTCTTTCTTCATTGCTGAGTTCCACTCCCGTTTCTGTTACAGATTTCATAGCTGAAGCCATGTCATCATAACGCTCCGCTTGCTCAGCTAACTTTGCCCTCTGAACTAATTCTTCCTTGTCAACTTGAGACATTGTAGTAGTAGTAATAGTAGATAGATTCTATTTTTATGAAAGAAGGAGTTGATTAATAATCTTATGTATGACTCACGCTAAAATTATGAGTGCCGGCCGGTAACAAAAATTTTTGAAAGTAATGCCACTGACCAGACAAACGATAGCAAAATGAAACACACTAATTGAATGACATGGACAGATATAACGATTAGAAAAATGCAGACTTTTCCTTCCCTTGATTATCAACGAGGTATAAGTATTACCTTTTGAAGTGCAATAGACTACTGTTTAACAAAATGGCGTCTGCCACACCTTTTAATGCGTCGTAAATAGAAATTTTCGCGGTACTAAGAGACAATTTCTTTTTTTATAAATGATTACACTATAATATTCTTGATATTTATAATCATTAAAAAAATGGAACATCATAGCATGGCGGCACGCCAAAGAGGGATGGAACCTGAAGCCGCAGTCCACAGCGTGGCATGGCACTTCACGTAGATAAAAACCTCGTTTGCCGGTATAACTTGCACTAGCACTAATCTATCCTCGAAAAATTGCGTTAAATCTGATATCAAACCTATTACAAACCATTTCCGTTAAAGTAGAATAAATGTTGAAGGTCAACCGATTCTGACAAAGGTACAAAACCGCACCAAAATTTCAGATTTAATAATCGTCCAGTCAGATCTTCCGTAAAACTAATTACGTTATTAGTAAAAACAATAATTTTACTTACTATTAACCTACTATAAACTGGAGTTTCTTATGAATAAGCAGACTTACACGACTAATCTATACAGCAACAAGCACGACTAGAACACGACTACCGATGGATCGATGCGGGGGTTACAAACGATAACGCACGGACTGTGACTACCTATGGCGTACATAATGCTAACTTAAAAAGGATTAATACCGCCTTTAATCTTACAATAAGCATTAATTATGTGTGATGCGCCCTGTAAAATCTGAATTAATATATTAAATTTAGGTAACTTACAATGCAAAATGCAAGCCTAACCGACAACAAACACCTTTTTAACTGCTATCAATTCTGCAACAAAGTGAGACACAAAACCACCAAAACGAAATCTGACAACGAGCATAGAACACAGAACCCACAGAACGAAGAATAGGAACATTTGGTACCAACATAACCATTTAAAATTACTATCAAGTAAAATAATAACTGCTTAAATTTAAAATTAAACAATAAAAAAATAAAATGAGATTGTGCCAAATACAAAATCAAATTTTTTCAATACTTTTCAAATAAATTACATCTCTACTTGTAATGTTAAAAATTGTTTGAAAAATTAAATTTAAAGGAATTGTTTGTAAATAGGTATGCAACACATCGTACACTTCAGCATAAGTTGCTGATACTACGTAATACTAGTTTGCCCTGTGCTGACAGCACTCATAATTTCTTTTATATATAATACTAGTTCTTCCCCCTATCAGTCACTGTGAACTCGAAACTGTTAGCACCATTGCTTCGAGTGGTCGAAATTCACTTTTTTAAACAATATTATGACGTAATGTCGGCCATCATTTTTTTCTAATTGTTGCTGTTGTCGGCCATCATTCTTTTCTAATTGTTGCTGTTGTCGGCCATCATTTTTTTTCAATTGTTGTCGCATTGTTACTGATGTCGGCCATTATGGTTTTCTAATAGAT